TACCAATCGCATCATTAAGATACATTGCCAATTGATTACCTAACAGTTGTTCAAACATGGGTATGTTCTTCATTTTTGTGATAAAAGGTAGATAAAAGAATAATATTTGTTTTCCTTAATTTAAAGCAAACAATCTGCTAGTACATAGTTAAGTAGCTTTGCAGACTGAAAATTTTAGGGGATGATATTGTTTATAGAGAACTCGCTTTGTGATTAACAGCCTAAAAACCGTTGAGAACCACAGTTCTATATAGTTCGAGAATACATATTTTTGCTAAGGAATTAGAATCACTTATTGGTAAATGACCATTCCTTGGATTATTAGTTCAGGGGATTGGAGGAAGTCTGAAAGCAACCGTATGTCTTAATCTAACGGGTTCAGATGAGGGGATCCAGAACACAGTTTAAGTCATCCAGAGCATGTGGATGCTGCCCGAATCACCTCACCGGTGTTTCACAAAACATCTACTTTCACAGGCAAAGTGGTTGGGAATGCTGCTTGGAACGAGTCAACGAGGAAATTGTTAGCTACTGCTTATCCAAGGCGGTTAGGGGAACGTCGGCTGCACAAATTTTTAAGCCCGCTCCATAGCCTTATTATAGGGTGGATTGGGACAGCATACATTCCTCATAGACAATGAACCTCAGAAGACAACCCCAAGGTAATAGACAAGGATAACACAAAGGTGATCTAAGAGGGTCTGACGCTTGTTCATCGGGTTTTGGAGTACTCATGGTGTGTTTTGGATTGCTACACAATCTCAATTATGGCTTCCATTGACTTGGAAGTCTGACTTTACCATTCCCATCACTAGGACACTTGGTTTCGCAATAGCGCATTTGTGAAGCTCTCATCCCTTTGATAGATGGAAAAACTATTTCGTGTTCAGTTGTGCATATGTCCAACTAAGAGAAAACCGCGTACTGGTATCGTAGGAAGCGAAAGACACGCGTCACAACAGCGGAGAAACTACTCTGAATACTGGGCTTTGCTAAGAGATTTCAAGTAATAATGAAATAATAACCACAGTTTATAAACGATAAGCAGGTCAAAGTAAGGGGCTGTGCTCAACTCCTAACGGTTAATTGCTGAGGCGATGGAAATCCTTCCAGCCAAAAGTTGCGTGAACAGAAGGCAACTGTCGTATGCTTGGTGCGCTGCCTTAACTGACCAAACTGAGCAGCACAAGAGAACGGATCGAGGAAGATAACAAAAATATATTCACGCCAACTGCTATCACTTACACGTACTTACGTGTGCTAACTAGGTAAGTTGAACCATCTGATACCACTCAATTTTTAATGTAGCAATGGAAACTACAAGTCCACATCTAACAGGGATTATCATCTATCAACGCTTCCGCTTGGCACAATTTGCTTCCCATTTCCTAATAACTGCAAGACGAACTATATACTAGTCCACTCGACACCAGGAAAATATTAAAAATGAAATGTTACCTCTTATTATATATTAGCACAAGTGTCGAGCCCAAACAGTCACCTCATTTCTACTACTCCACCACCTGGTTTAGAAAACATCACCATCACTACGGAGGCTGTGTTGAAGAAGTTGTTATCCTTGCGTATCCACAGTTCTCCCGGAGCTGATAACATCCGACCAAAGGCTCTACAGGCAGTAGCTAGTGATCTAGCAGAACCACTGGCTGTTTTTTATCAGCGATATCTGGAAGAGAACGGTATTCCACCAGTATTGAAGCGAGGGGTCATCACTCCTATCCATAAAGGAGCTAGCCGCACTGATCCTGCAAACTACCGTCCAATAACATTACTTCCCGTACTATCCAAATTGATGGAATCAATCGTCGCAGACGCGCTGATGCACTATTTGGAAAGCCACAATTTAATAGCCCCAGAGCAACATGGCTTTCGTCAAAAGCATTCGTGTAATACTAACCTATTAATTGCACGTAATAGCTGGACTGAAGCTGTTGATGATGGAGTTGGAGTCGATGTCATCTATGTGGACTTTTCAAAAACGTTTGATCGTTTAGACCATCGAGTTCTCCTTCAGAAGCTTCGGAACTACGGCATTGGCGATCCAATCCTGAGTTGGATTAGCAATTTTCTACAAGAACGACGGCTAGTGGTGAGAGTCCGAGAATCATTTTCTCATGCAATCGACGTGACGTGTGGAATACCACAAGGCTCGGTTCTTGAACCTCGTCTATTCTTGGTGTTCATTAACGACTTGGCGAGATCAATTACTTCCGATTTCTTATTTTTCGCTGATGATATCAAGATATGGCGAAGGATCAGAGGACCGGATGACCATGAACGGCTCCAGCACGATCTTAACACAGTTTCGAACTGGTCAGTTCAAAATTCCCTACCGTTCAACGTAGACAAATGTCGCGTAGTACAATTACGCCATAGACATAACTACACCTACATACATGGGACAAACGAATTGCAGAATAGCTCCCAGGAACGTGATCTTGGTGTGATCGTACAGAGCGAACTCAACTGTTCAAAACAGGCTGAGGTAGCTGCCAAAAGAGGCAACCAGCACGTCGGCATGCTGCGAAGGGCATTCGGGAGATTTGACCCATCAGTCTTCCCAATGATGCTCAATTCCTACGTGCGCCCGCAAGTTGAGTGCGCAATCCAACCTTGGCAACCTTGGTTGAAACGCGACCTAGAAGCGATAGAGGCACCACAACGGAGAGCAACAAAGAACGTGATGGGCCTGCGGTATCACTCTTATCACCGAAGGCTGATGTTGCTGGGAATTTTCAGCGGACGTTATCGAAGGCTGCGCGGCGATCTCATATTGGCGTATCAGATATTGAGTGACCCCAAACACGTATGCAGCCATTTGCTGAAACTTAGCCACAACACGCAGCTCAGGGGTAACTGCTTAAAGTTGAAGGAACAATATAGACGTCTAGAGTGTCGACGGAATTACTTTTCCCTTCGAGTTTGCAAACCATGGAACGCACTCTCAGACTCAGTAGTATCCTCTCCTACCCTGGATGTTTTCAAAAAACGATTAGATGTTGCTCTCAGCTCCCAAAATTTTGTTACCTAAGCTCCTCTATTGTGGATTACGCCAAGCATGTTTTCAACAGGACTAATGTATCAAATGGACCTAAGTGAGCGACCATATTTTATTTTCTCACTCCTTACCTCAACTATCACTGCGCCCCGGTGTCTTTCTGAATGTTTACGCGCGATATTTCTTTTTCATTTCTCACTGATGTTAATTATCAAAGTATTCATCTCGGCAGACGTTCGATAGATGACCCACACATATTTTAATTGCATCATATTCACCGCTACCATCCTACGGGACGTGTCAAGCACTTGCTTTTATCTCGTGATAAATCATTGTTCATTGTTCATTGTTCAATCTAGGGGCGATTTCCGTCAGCATGTGTTCTGTCGGCTTATCATCCATCACGCAATGGCACAACCGCCTGGCGTGCGTAAACGCCAACATATGGGTAGCATTGATTAGGATGACTTGACTGTGACTGCGTTGGCCCAAGCGTGATCAAAAGTTCTGCCTAGAGTTCCATTCCCTTTTTAGAACGAACGATGGCAAAACCAGTAGTGAGGTGGCAGTGTTTGCGGGAGCAACAATAAAACGCCTACAACCTGTTGGATTGTTCGCAGCTTGTTTCAGTAATGCAAAACAACTGGCAGTCTGATGAGTTTTAGTGTTGCCCCTGCACTTCATAAACTCTACGATGCGTTTCGTCCTTGTTTGGACTCATCAGGTAAAGGAATCCTGATCTGAAAGAGCATTGATTGAAAACAGCATTACCGAAACCCTCCCGGTCGGATAGGGTCCTAGTGTTTGGAAGGACAGAATTTGACTTCAAATTCAACCGAGGCCACAATCAAGATTGCGTATTGCAATCCAAAATGCCCGGCGGGTACTGCAATACCCAACATTCAACCTGCGGTCAAGTATCAAACTTTTGGCCTTGTCATAACTACTGACTTCGTCAGGATAATTTTCGGTTGGATTACGCCCAACAAAACCATATATCGGCTGAAGCACTATGTACAATGATATTCAAATTGAGAGGACTTCAACAGTTAGGAGGAAGTGGATTCTAAAGACAGGGTAAGCTGCATGTGTAACCGGCACTTCTTCAAAGGATGAAACATCTCACTATTTCCGTTTCATCGATCTAGATAAAAGTAAGTGGGGATGAAGCGGAATGAACTAATTTGCTGTTCTGGAGCTAAGCTAAATTATCTGATTTCTCCTTTTATGTAGAAGTACTGGTCGATACTCTGAAGCAGCAACGTTGTATTATCATGATCTATTAAGAAGAACTTGATGTCTGGCAAACAAATAATTTAAAATGGCCGTTTGCAGCGTTTTGAGGTTGATAACAAATGGCTACTATGATTAGTGTAAGTGACGGAAGTGTTTAACTAACCGGATGCAATGGTGTTTTTACACATCTAATTCCTTGGAAATGGTACACATTCACTCTGAAGAGAAATTTAGCTTAGATTATTAGCGCTTACTATTGCGCAAACGAGTCTTGAAAAGGGACAACTAGGCATAATTTTTGCCAGCTTACATCATTCTTTTCAACAAATCTTATTCATTCGATGTGCTGATTCAGGCTATGAGTACTTACTCGTTAACATGTTTATCTTGTAACTTGACGTGAAAGAAATTGCTCAATGGTTCACAAAAATACTCGCTACGGAATAATCGTCGCTGGGATTTCATTTACAAACTGCGTGTCGTTTGGAACCTACTACCATTCGAGAAATTCAATTAAACTGATCGCCGCGGGTGTAACGATCTTCGGCTGAGAAATGGTATTTACCAACTTCAAGTATGATTGAGAATTACTATTATCTCAAAATTTTCATTATTCTTCGCGATATCCCAAATATAAAAACAGTTGCCGCCCGTGTTCTTTGCTCATTGGATACCGCAAGTGCACTAACTGATAATATTGAATAAGACAGAACCCTAACAAATTGTTGACGGATTTGGATTTACTCACTGGGAAGAATCCATGCCAGTCTCTTGTCAACTCAGTTTTCACAGATCCCGGATGTAGGCTGACTGCGATAACACCAGTGCCTTCAAGTCGACGGCTCAACTCCCTTGCATGCATTACGTTTGCAAGCTTTGACCAACTGTAGGCCTTTATGATGGAGTATTCTTTCGCAGGTATGAAAATTTGCGGCTTCCACTGTTTGCTAAAACTGTGTGCTAGTGAAGACACATTGATTATTCTTGACGGGGCTGCGCGCTTCAACATCGGAAGCAGTTGCTCAGTGAGTAAGAATGGGCCCAGATGGTTCGTTGCCATGGTCATCTCGAATCCATCAACGGAGCTGGTGTAACCATTTATGGCCACTCCGGCATTGTTGATTAGAAAATCTAGCTTATTGTACTTCGATAGCATACGGCTTGCGAACTGGCGAACTGACTGAAGTGATGCCAAATCCAGCAATTCCAAAACAAGCTGAAGCCAAGAGGAAAAATTGAAGAACATTTTGAACGTTCATGCTTTAAGCGAAAGCTTGCTCCGTTCACGAATCCTGTCTTTTCCTTACATTAATCAGGTATTAGCGATGAACTTTATGGAGGACAGAGGTATTTTGCACCTCTTGAGAATGCAACAGATATCTGTGTCTTAACAAAATACTCGCCCGAATGGACAATTATTGTTGCCAAATTTCATTTTCAAATACTTCATGGTAATCAGTAAGATAAAACGGACTAACTTGTCACCATTCTTTTTCTTCATTGCTATAGCTAGCGCTTCCTTTTTGCAGAACTGAACAACACAGTGGGCTGCAACTGCAAATCAGTTGGTGAAAATCCCATTTAACATAATGAAACACATTTGTAAACATTAGCATTTGTGAACATTCTCCTCAAAGTTTTCATATCAACTTGTTAGTTTTGCAGAAGAGTAGTAGGGAATGTTATAGGAAGAAATTTATCACATCTAGGCTCACTCAGACAGCCGTCAAACGCCCGGAAAAACACCGTACGCGCGTTTCATCCTTTCGGGAATCATCAGCAGTGCGCATTCCATCGGACCCTTGGTAGTTTTGTTTGTTAAGATATACTAAGGTATGCTAATCAGATGTTCTTAACTGGACAATATGTTGTCGGTGTACACTAGAAGTGTTCTGCACCTTTTACAACCCTGTTTTAATTGGCATTGATTTCATCAAATGCTGCAACATTTGAACCATATGTTTTACGGACAATGGGTTAATTTATATTTATTCAGATTTACATGTTGAAATTTTTATTTACTGCACCGATTAAGGTGCTAAACGTACTCCTAAACCACATGCTTCAGAAAACACTCCTTAAGTTTCACCGAGCAAAGGGATCTATTGATAAGTCATTTCGCAACCTGCCGGTGTTTTGGCGTAATCACTGGCACTGAGGTAAGAATCAACCCGAGGTCTCGACCGATAATTCTCACAGTCATCTCGTTCAGAGAGCCACTGCAATTTCGACAATTCACGGAACAGCCGTTTCATCCTTTCGGAAATGTGCAGCATTGCTCATTCCAGCTAACGTGAGCTTACCTTACCCGGTCCGTGATTGTGACTACCGGATCAAGGCATCTAGAGTGACTAGGCAATCAGGTGAGATGGCGTTGTCCTGCACTTAAATAACGTACGTGTAAGTGCAGGTTCATGGAAACTAGCCCCATAGTGCTCACAATTCCACGAGAAGGCAAAGACCGTCGAGAGATTTTTGGATGTGCGGCAGTTATGGAACTGGTATAAATGTGACGAATGGTGGTCGAAAGAACAGCCGAAATGCTTCTGTTCATTGCTTATTATTAATCTAGTATTATATCGATAATCATTAGGTGACAGAATGCATTTCAGTCCTTTTTCAGATTTCATAGTTGATCTACATGTTGCGGGTGACACAAGTCTAAAAGTTAGCAGTAATACTAGAAATCTTCTGCAAAATGTCCCCAACTGTCCTCCATGAGACAGGGCTAGGTAAATAGAGCGAAGTTGATTGTTCTGTGAATCATGATCCTTGAACCGGGCATATTGAATATATATTGCGATTAAAGTTGGTTCTAGCTGCTAATGACATATTTTAGTAAACTGATCAATGGCGGCCTTTAACTTGACCTCAAATACCAAGAATTTTGCCACTTTCTTCAGCTACCAACAATGGTACGTATGTTATTTTACCGTCTCCAACCCACACGTCTTGTACTTATGCTGTACCTTTATGGATTAACTGATTGACTGCATTTTATTTTTCATTCGGCCTGCATGATTGATGGCCAACTCAGCCTCAGACATGCAAACATTTCGAAAATGTACGCTTGTGCGACTTTGAATTATTTCCAGTGTTGACTATATGAACAAAGCAGGATACTAACAACAACATAGTTTTACCATTTCCCTGCTTATAACAGTTTCATTATAAGGAATATCAATAGAGAAGTTTCCATCTAATGCAGTAAACCTGCTCAGAACGATTGACTGAACAAAGACTCTCACACAGTGCTTGACATCTGAGGCTGCTTACAAACTACGATTGCGTCCTCAGCATATTTAGCCTTAGTTATCATAGTGGTACTACCTACTACATACGCTTAGGATTCTAACTTAATTTCTCAGTCTCATAAAATCCAACTTTACATCAAGGATGGAATTATGAAATTGTTAACTCAAACTTGGCTCCAATGCTTCTAGACAAAAAATTGCTCACCATACAAAGGCGGCTAGATTTTCCCATGCATTAGTGGCGAGGACGCACACGAGTTTAGCAGTTAACATGTGACTTGTCTGGCGTACCTAACTTCTGCTTAAGTTATTCCTCTCAATTGAAAGGGTCAAGAACCAAATTAACTATGATGCAAGACGCAAGTACATCATTGTGCAAAAACTTCCATGTGACAAAGACTTGGACCGAGGCCATTAAAAGGTAAAGGGACCACTATTGTTCTCAGTTATCGTTCATCAGTATACGCGACTTTAAACTAGACAAAATGGCTAGGCAGTAATACCAGGTCAACGAGGAATCGTATTCTGAGACAATCAACGTAAGCGATAGGAAGTTTGTTTTGTTCTTGCCCAGTCACATTTGGAGTGAAATACTTTTGCCAATAGTTCGACTTCAACGGTTATTTAAGAATTAAATAAATTAATAAATTAATTAATTAAAGAAAAACGTCACTTTCTTTGTAGAGTACAAAACGAACGAAAATTAATGGTAAGCCATCTTCAGATAATTTAACCAGTTGGTTTTTGTGGTTCATAACTCACATTGTATTATTATAGAATTCGTAGTTTATTCAGCAAAATGGATAAGTAAGTAGATACGGTGACATCTTGTTGTACCCGGTCTATGTTCAAAACTTATTCGAAAATCCCACTTATACGACATACCATGCTCAGTAGGTCACTATCGAATGAGCGATTATGTCCCTCGACAGCTTATGCGATGTTATATTCGTGCTTGTATTACCTCCGTTTTAATGCCTTTGCTGATGAAGTCAATCAATGAAAACTGATTGTATATGGGTTCAGATGCATTGCTTTAAAAGCCCCCTGGTATGGTTTTGTGGGTTATCAATAAATAAGGAAATAGTATGCAGTTAGTAAATTTACCGTCAAAAGTATGTTCTCATCATATGTAATGCAGTAGCCCTCCTCTCCGAGTATTTCCATAGCTTCAGTAGGCAAAAATAAAGAATCCAAATTATCATTCGGCAGTCGGATGAAGAGCATTCGCAAGGAACAAAATATAAGTGGCAAAGTGCCTCATCCAACCAACTTTTAACTATGGCTAGCGTAGGTACAGAAACAACCGATTCGGGAAGAGCATTCCATAGTTGACACATGCGAATAGAAAAGAAATTTCTACGGCATATCAGACGGCTTTACTGTTTTGCTAGTTTCACGGAGTGATCTCTCAGTTTGGTGTTATAGTTGAGTTGGAGTGAAGAGCGGCACAGATGATTTGGATTGTGTAAAATCAAGTAAGCCATTATCAAGTCGCCTCGTAGTCGGTAATGCCATTCGTTACGATACGACTTGACAATGTCATACTTAATTTTACACAATCAAAATTATACGTAACTCCCTTCATGCAACTCAGCAGTAATACCAACCATAGACTTCACTCCTTGAAATTAGCAGGACAATATTGCCGTTTGCAGCATCTGCCTGCGTGTGCGGCACGCAAGCTTGTCAGCTGTGGTATCAAGTAATCACAGTATTAACATATCATTTGCAGGAAGATAAAATAACCAACTAGCAATACTCAGTGAAACTTAAACCAAACCTTTTAATGGGGAGATACAAGGCATCAAAAACTGGCACAGCATTTCACTAAATACACAGTGCTATTTGATCGCAATACATGGTTAGAACAGTTTATCACAAACGTTTACAACGGTAAACACTCGGACAAGCAGTTAGATTAGGAACAGTAATTTTCGAGATAACTGGTCACTTGGCAACGCTTGGAGAAATCTATCGGGAGCAGTAAAGTACCGCCACTACTGGCGGGTTTCGGTGATGGTCCCGCTGACCGCATTGGCAGAGGCTGACTTCAAAGTCAACCGAAGCCACAATTGAAATTACGTGTGGCAATCTAAGACATACGGTGGGTGCACAAAAACCCGCAATTCAATATTGCCTCTGGTATTTTGAGGAAATAGTTCATCCACAGTGCCTTATAGGAATTTTGACCAAAATATTGGCGTATCTATGGCGGAATGACTCCTGTTTTCAGAATCACCTAACTAACGTTCCTCATTCATAGTTCTGCTTAGCATGATTATGGACTTCGTGAATGAGTTGTGGAGTTGCAATTTATTCGCCGAGCAAGGCACATGACCAAGTGGTGCAAAGATGATCAAGACACCTTTCCCTTCACTACGATTCTCTTTTATTACTCTTTGGAAACCATCATATTAGAGCATCACATAGGTTTATTCCAATATAAATAACTACTTATGAGTAGAAGGCTTTTAGCGAGTATTTTTGTTCGTCGCAATTAACCGACAATTCGGATAAGTCCACTACCTATCCGGAAAAGCACCAGACGGCCGTTTCGCCCTATTGGGGCTCGTCAATGGTGCGCATCCCTCGGTCCTCTACGGAGGATCGAACCCATGACCGCTAGTGGCTTGTGCCAACTAGACCATGCGTTATGCAACTGAGCCATGGCCGAATTGTCGGCTAATTGCGACGAACATAAATAACTTTTTGATTGCCATATGATGCCACTATCAACCCTCGCATGGCGCGACCTGATACAAAGACTGGACTGCTTTCACAAATGAAAACTAACTTTTACAAATCGAAGAGTTAGGAGATAAACAAAATTTCTGTTGCATTCCATTAAAAACCCCAGCGTCAGGCAGTTGTTGAGCCGGACATTTTAAGTAAAAGTAATTTCGAATGTTCCTTTCTGCATTCGATAAAGGAAGTGTTTTGACCAACAACTCTACTGTCACAAGATGAAAGTTCTTGTACCACAGAGAAGGTAGTATTTTGCCTACCTGTTCAGGTTGCACAACGGACAAGTATTGAATAACGGACGAGTCCGCAACATCCAACTTGACACTGTCTGGTTTCGAAGGTCCATATTTATCCAGTATCCGATCAACCGCAGCTTGCGCCCGTTTCAGGTCACGACACGCCATAATCACCTTGCATCCCCGTCGGGCCAATTCGGCAGCCGTCACCTCCCCGATTCCGGTACTGGCTCCGGTCACCACGGCTAACTTGCCATCCAACCGACCTGGTGCAGTACAGGTTCTGTGATACCATCCTTTCACTTCGTCGGTGCCTTTGTTTTTGGACGCCATTTGGAAAGATAGGCAGTGCTCTTAGCACAAAACCCAGATAATTCGTTTGTCTGTTGGAATTGAGTTGAAATACTGATTATTGTCACTACGACACGTAGCGTCGCTTCTATGGATCACGAGACAAGTGCAGTGCGTTACATGCGAATACAACAAATCAATCCATATCCATACATGTTATTCGTTCATGGATGCGCAATGCAAGCAAGCAACCAACGATAACAATGCGTGTTTGGTCAAAAGATGCACAATCGCACGGGTTGTCACGCAAACGTGAGAGGCGATGCTGGCTGTCTGGCTGTCTGTCTGGTCTACACTACCACGTCAGCAATGGTATGTTGGTTTTATACTTCGCATTGAATGTAAACTAACCTGGCTCAACCCCAATGCTCCGATTACTGCACGTGGGTAGGCCTATAAAATCCTTCATCAGTGTTTACTAACACATGTTATCCTTCTTATTACTAGTGCAATCACATGAGTGGCTATTTGGTCCCTGGATGTCAAATCAAATAGACAGGAATTGTAATACATTGTTTCGATGCGCATCTTTTATCCGAAACTTCACATATTTTTCCAGCTGATTTGTAGACTGCAACGCAAGGACTGCAGTCAGATGTCCAAGGATAACAACCATTGCCTGAACTCAGATATCGTTGACCAAGGCCGGTAGCGACTACTGAGCAGTTTAAAACGAACACACGGCACTCGAGAAATCAGAATCACTGGGGCCAGTTATTTAAGACGGAAAACTTGGAATGTGCTGATATAAGGAACAACTGTCAACTGCACATGTAGAAATGCATGATGCTACTGCGACGGAAAAGTTAATGGAATCACCTATGCTACCAATGGATTGAATCGCTCTGCTCATTTCTATCGACTAAAGGATATCCGTTTTAAAGGTTTCTGATTTGCATGTCGTACATAGCTACTCAAATTAGACATCGTCTATTTCGGGGCCAACCCTGCTCTCTACAACATTCGTAAAGCGCATGACGGTGGAGGATAAGGCGCGCTATATCACTGTTATCTTGCAAGTCATGACGATCCGAAGCTGTCCCCCGTGGTCCAGTGGCATAAGCTGCTGACTGGCGTTGCAAGCGGCTAGTGGTCATAGGTTCGAATCTTGAGGGAATCGATGGGTGTGCACTACTGATAATGGGCAACAGGCTGAAATCGCAGGAGGAGAAGGAATACTTGTTTGGAAGCTGGTGTGGCGAACTCCTAATTAGTAAGTGATGAATGTTGGAGCTTGCATCACTTATGGTGGACAGACTACATCACGCGATACCGTTTTTTGCGATCAGTTATGACAAAGACAGTTTCTGAATTTTACTCAATTTTTCGAATGAACAGCCTGTAAATTAACGCTTCTGAGTGACGTGCTTTTCCAAAAGTAATAATGCCAGTTAGGCTATACCACATCCTATCTGATGAGGGAATAATTCGAGCGCATAGCAGTGCTGGTTCTTTTCACATGTAAGTTACAAGGTAGCTTGCTATTATTCCGAATGAAATTAGCTTGCTATTTTAATGTGCACAGATCGAGATTTCATGGGGTTTAAGAGATTGCGCATGAGAAGCGCACTATTTTTCAGCCTTTGCAACCACAGGGGGTCGACGCAAAGCTGCTGGTAACGCTCTTGATGGTTCACGTCAGTTGCATTACTGAGCATACGTCTAGTGGATTCTCCTTGCAAGGTCTGCAGAACATTTTCGTCAGCAATGTGCATGCCTGCATAGGTGGGGCCGCAATACTAAAGGATGGGATAAGCCATATCTTTGAAACTTTTCCTTGTGGAAAACACAACACTAGTTTATTGGCAGCTGTTATATTTAGTCTGCTTGGTAAGTACAATTTGATATCCGGTCTGTTTTGACTGGTTGAATTGGGAAATGATTGTATTCCTAAGCCATATTGAGACACAGTTACGCAGATACGTTCAGCAATCATTTTAATTGACTTATTCAAGGATCGAAAATCCCTACAGTAATATACTTGTGTATTTCACTGTGAGAATTCCGCACAAGACTGCAGTGTTAACTCGTTGGGCATCATCTGTAGGGCACATCCATCGGATTCATCAGGATTCGAACTCATGATCACTGGCGACTTATACGTACTGCAACAGTCGTTTGGCGTTACACAGTGTTGTGAATGACAGCGAACTGCTTTCGGCTGCAGTAGCAGTGGCTGGGCTGGCACGCTAACATGTGCTGAGTTAGACCAAGTCAGACGATGGCGAGACAATGTCCACTAATTAGTCCAGACGAACTGCGCACACCAGCGTTTAACATTCACATATATGATTGGGTATTTCGGTAAACCGACCTTCTCTACCTGACACATTGGTGCAAGTTGTATATGCATCCTGAAAACATGACATCCAGTCTTGTCCAGTTGTGATAGTATATGCAGCTAAACGATAATTTAACAAGTGCAACAAACCTCCTCTGCATGAATCTTACCACCGACTCACATGTGGGAACCGAGTATTAAATGCCAAAACAAATTATTTGCCACCGTGCCGGAAAGTAATTTATGCTTGTCCGACAGCGACCTCAGACAGCTGCGCTCATAGCAATCGTGGCTTTTCTCCCGGTGTGTTTTAACCACCATGGAAACTCTAATGTACCTCAAAATAGAAACGGAACCATTGCACTAAGATGAAATTCCCTGCACGCATAGAAAATGTTGCGATGGGCGATGGGTTGTCTAGCTCGAATCAATCCGTTTTCGGCAATGTATCCATCTTTTTGGTATCAGATACCTCTGACAGGAGGCTAGACCTTCACAGACGCATACATCGAAGCCATACCCATAAGGCTTATAACTTAACTTATTATGCTAATGAGCCCTACATTCTAGCTATGATTTAAATGTGCACAGAAAAGCATCATCATCATCATCATCATGCACGTTAGCTGAAGGTGGGGAACACCTCAGCTACTGTGCCACAATGCACAGAAAAAAGAAAAAAATGCAACTGGTGCAAGCCGGCTGAGCTACCGGTAACGGATGGGCATCGTTCCGGTAAGCTACCAGCCGGCAACTGTGCATAGAGAAATTATTATACAAAATTGTATACAATTAAATAATGAGATCGTGATTGGAGGGGGAGGCTAAGAGGGATGGGTGGGACAAAGAAACTCACAGCACGAACGCCACTAAGGTCGGCTCCTAGTCATATCAGCAAGTGTGTCCAACCAAACATGTTCATCGTCTTTCGGAACCCACCCAGGGAGCCGAGACGCACGAACCCAGGCCAGCTTCGAAGTGAGGGCTTTAATTCCTCTCGACCAAGTCATCGCTTGGCCACGCCCTCCTCTACTTCCATCCACACCCCCGGCGCGCAAACAACGCACATCGCGGGAGTCGGTGGGCTGGCATGCGTAACACGTGGCCGAGCCATCGGAGCCTGGTGCGTGAAATAACCATGCTGAGCGGTTCAGTTCCTTTTCCTGTGCCATAAACAAGGCGTCGGACACGCTCGTTGCTCACGCGGTGTTCCCACCAGATGTGAGCTAAATTATGAAGGCACCGGTGGTTGAACGTAACTAGCCTCTTCAGGTCCGCTGCTTTAAGCGGCCAGGTTTCACAACCGTGCACAGAAAATACATATCTCATGATCAATAGGCATTGACTGCATTATTTGAAGCGGCACTGAAGGCAATCCTGTAAACGCATCGGTCAAGGCAAAGGTAACTGCGCGCAGAATACTCAAGCCAAACATCTTAAATGCAGAAAAATCCAGTATGTTCCTTCTTCAATATATCAATACTCCGTTTTCATATAGATTTCACTTTAGCTGCTGCTCAGTTTCATCTATGACTACTGCGTTTAAAGACGTAAAGAGCAAATTTATACAAGCATATTTGTTGATGGAACTTCAAAAAAAGGTGCTATATTAATCTGGTTCATAATTGTCCAAAATTCCATTTGAAAAAGCTATTGGTAGGAATAATTTTGTGGTTAGTTAGTAATTCATGGATATCACGCGACTTTTGTCCTCAAATGTTTAATTATACCAGTTTCAGTCTTGTAAATAGGCCTTAGCAAACAAGCAGGTTTTGCTGATACATCGTCACGCTAAATACCACGCATGTATATAGTTGGGCGAGTATATCATGCACTGTGGCTGTTGGTGGCTAGATCCTGACAGATGGTCTACCCACTGCTGCGAATGTTGTGGCATGGGCTCATGTCTTGGACGCCTCCTCGTGGCGACCGTTCAAGATTACAGTAGTGTCTGATGGGCTGAAAAGCATAACTTTACAACACCCACAGGATGGATACGAAAAAGGAAATTGAAACCAAAATGTTCCAACATGAAACTTGAAGTATCCGTGGTTAAACCATTGCACTTTACAAAGTTTGTATTCCATTTATCTCTAAGATGAAAGTTTAAGAGTCTTTCAAACGTCGTCATCTCTGGTGAGTTCAGCACATATCTTGGTAATACATTCCAGTGAGGACAGATGTTAATTGAGTAAAAATACTTTCTACAATTCAAACGAGTGTTGTGACATCAGTTTCAGGCGGTTGCCTCGGATTTGTTTGTAAGCGACTAGGGTCAACAGTGCTGTACGTAGATGCTCGTTATCAGATAGTATCCGCTATGTGAGAGTAAGATCTCCGCGAAGCCGTCAGTGTTCTAATGAGAACACACCGAGTACACGAAGATACAGTTCGTAACTTATACCGGATAGTCCACGCGTTGCCTTTGTGGCGCTTCTTTGCGTTTGTTCCAATAGGCGAATGTCTCGTTTTAAACATGGACACCATGCCTAAATTGCATATTCAACGTGACGGCGAATATAGGACTTACCCAGCATTGTCACTAACCGTAGCTCAAAGGTGCCGAAAGCTCGCGTCAAGAGTCTCAAGTTCAAGTTCGCCACAGTTGCTACTTTCGAACATTGGAGCAAATTGTCAAGACTCTCTTGCACGATTATACCTAGGTTGCATTCACTGGTCAAGTGTTGCAGGACGTGTTGATCCCACCGACATCAGGTGGCACTTTGCAGGGTTCAGTGTGAGATGGTTCCACTCTACCCATTCGTTAATCCGAGTCAGATCTTCCAGAAGATAGACACGGTCGGATGCTGAGCGAA